ACATGTTTTCTCTAGTTATTGCATTCACGTACGCTGCGTCTAGACGGCGTAAGTAAAGGAGTGCGCGAAGAGTTACTTCGGAAAGTTTTGCTTTTTATTAATACTGCACTTACAAGCAATGAGCGGGTCAGTCCTGCCCTACAACACGGGCAAAAGCATTTTATATATGTAGGAATTTCGTTTATGTAACTTGTATGTGGGTATATTGTAAATGATAACGTGGGAACAGAAATCATCACTATTACATAGTATAAAACAAAGTCTTCCCGCTGTCTGTCTGTCCCTATGTATGCTTAGATCTTTATAACTACACAACGCATCTTGATGCGTTTTTTTTTACTAGGTAGGGCGTTTCAAGAGGAAGGTTTATATGGATAATACATTGAACCCGTGCGAAGCCGGGGCGGGTCACTAGTACAGAAAAAAAGTCAGTCTTGGTTCACTAGTGCTCTTTCATTAACGTGTCCAATTAACCCAACTTAAACAATATACAGAAGATATTGCCATATCTTAATGTGGAATAAAGCAAAAATCCGAGTTTACTTCGTCGTGTGCATTTTTTTTGCAATTGTGGTTTTTACGATGTTATTTTATCGTCTAACCTTTAAGTTAATTCTCGTTTCTCTATTTATCAATACTAGCAACTCATTTCCCAGGCTAGAGTAACCAAATATTTGGATTTAAATGTAAATAAAGTATGTACTTAGGTCTTCTAATTAACCTTTTTTATTACATTATAAGGAAATTTAGCAAGTAGCAATTCTCACCCGATGGTAAGTGTAGTTTCTCTAAAACCTATTCAGATGCAATAAAGAAAGGGAAATGTCGTTTAATGCTCGTTCAACAAATCACAGCTACATGATTAAAAGGTCTTAGAGACCAGAAGCGAAAACAATCATCGGATGAAGGTGAAGAGGACAAATCCCAACACTCGAAGCAAGTCCTAGGAACTATAGCCTTTGTACGGGCTGTGCTCGATGGAGCTTCAGACGCCCCAAAAGGCTGAAATCGGAAATCTCGTCTGACGAGGACACTAAACGTCTGCAGATTCCGAAAGTCGCCTCTCGACGTGTTGTTGATGAGCGGGAAAGTTGGAGCACATGACAATTGCGGTCTATTTAAGCACCGTAACCTAACCAAGGCGGAAAAATCTAGAGAGATCCATGCATCAGCAGAAATCCAGACTCGATTGGTGATAGAGAGATGAATAGGAGAAACACTGATTCGAGGCGTGCAAAAACGAGTCTTAAATAAATATTGCATTACCTAAGTAAATTAGGTAAAGCGGTCGCAATACGAACATGCCGAAACCGGGTTAGATAGTTTCAATAGCGCTAATAAAAATTATAACATCGTTAATATCGAAACGTCCATGAAAAAATTGTTTAAAGCTATAAAAATAATTTTTAATAAGCTAACCTTAAAAACAACCTATAAGAACGTAGTAATGGTTTAATGCAAATTTTATTACATTACTTGATCACGTCATGATTTCTAATAAACGGTATACACGCGCATTTATACTAACATGTAGTAAAAAGTGCCGTTCTTAACGGAAATTATAGAGGCAAATTCAATATCAATTCGATTGGAAATTCAATACATAATTTATAAACGGCTTAAACCATCGATTGAATACACAATAAAAGGTTCTTCGAAATAACTGTAGAGATCGTATCGAAGGCAGAAATCTCGAGATAAAGCCAATAATGTCGCAAGTGGCCGGCGCCTCATTCACATATCCGAAAGACGTTCAATGAATCCATTCATTAATACCTCCTCAATGTATCCAAATTCGAACATTCCTAACGTATAAGAAACCAGCAAGTCGAGCTTACAGTCTCAACTACACGAGCGTTTATAGTCTTACGCACTTTGATATAACGACCTCAATCGTTTGAACTTATTGTTCGTAAAGGCAGCATTCCCTTTAGGGAGTGTGCTCTCTGTTATTTATTATTCATAACATGCAATATACCATGTCACCTCGTTTGTCACGGGTGACGGGTTTTTTTTCGCTTGACATGCGCAAAAACCACACGTCCTTTAGCGAGGCGTCCGCAATGAACGCGTCTTGAATAATGAGAGGAATTCTTAAATGCATTTGCGAGAACTTTTAACGCATTCTTTCCGTTTCGCTTCAATTGATCCGTAAATTACTTTATGGTACGAAGTGAAATTGTATGCACCAGTACGATGCACTTGTTCGAGTTAAATTGTCTAGTTTTAAAATGACTTGGGATTTAAATTAATATTGACAACGTATAAAATATCGATTTAAATTATCATGTTACATAATCGAAACTGTAAGATCAGAAACGTCGTGTGAAAACTAAAATAAACTCGATCTAATCGAATCTAATTAGTGGCGTACTTATAGAATTTGGATATAACTGACTACATATATGAAAGGCTTGAGGACCTTTCATTAACGTAACAAATTTCTAAGATATTGATATTGGAATAAATATATATCTAGATATTTCCCTTTTCAAGTATTTGTGTGACCCACAGATAATTGTTCCGAATCTGGGTGTTTGTTCCCAAAGAGGGTTAGCGTCAAGGAAGTCAGTCGTAAAAACTAACTAAAACCACTTACAACATGAATCACATGTTGTTCCAATCCCACCTAGTTAGAATAAGGGCAGGATGATGATTATAATGATGTTGGTATAGATATTTCCCTAGCAGTTTTTTCGGCATGTGATTCAAAAATGCAAAACACATACACTATTAGAAAGTCATTTGAACATAAGTATTACCGCTACGTGGAACTAATATTCAGCAGTTAAGATGGGCGCCACGGTGTGCCGATCGCAAACTATTCGCCCTTGCATAACTACAAAAACTACCATCAGTATTCCTCCACACGTTCCCAATCTCAATAATTCGCTCACTAAATGATGTCAGCGGCATAATGAGCCGATGACGAATCCCCTCACGACTGCTGTCGCATTGCCACCCAAGATCGCACTCGTCAGACCACCAAGAGACCCTCGTTGACATCTCATTTTGGACGCTATTGTCCTGTGATTTGTAACTCAATGGCTGCGACGTACCTCGGCCAAGAATTCTCTTGTCTTTTCTTTGTTAATAAATAGAAAAGGTGTGACTAATATAGAAAAATTTAAACAACAGAACTGCTCTATTACATAGAAACAGCAAAGCAATTATTGTTTATTGTTAAATACCATAATTTAAACCTACTTTACCTTTTAGTTTTAACTACTGCTATAAGATTGGCAATGAGGACGACAAAGCATAATAAACCATAAGCAATTTTACAATAAATGTATATATTGAATTTAGAGATGGCAGTGTAAATTCATCATTTAAATGATGTTTTTGACATAAGTTCAAATGACAAAGCTACAGAAGAAAGACACACGACCAATCATCACAAGTTTAGTTGAATCATACGAAATATTTACTTAACATATTTGCTAGTAATTCAATTCTTAACAATCAGAGGAAATGTAAATTTAACGGTATTTTGATATGACAACTGAAAAGTTAAATTACTATTAAGGCGATATATAATTAACTGTTTGTTCTCAAATAAAAAAAATTAAGTATCGACCCTTTAGTTATGAAATGTGCATTCAATTTAATTCCTTATGGTTATTTTATATCGAGTGTTCATCGCTCTCATAGAAATTTCTGAGTCGCTCTCTAAATTACATGAGTACGTGAAGAAATATTTCTTCTTCTTTATTTGCACACCACACTAAGTCTTTTGTAGAATCACAATTTAGGGCAAGAAGTGATAAATGATTTAATATAATATAGTTTCACACTGTTTTCCAATATTTTTCCCAAGATGGCATAATCTAGGGAAAAGAGCGCTCCGATTCAGGCCTAGTGATTGACAACACTTTAACATTCTTTAAAATAGTATAATAATTTAAATATCTAGGAGTCCCGTTCGAGTCACGCATGACGTTCACATCGCATATTAACGAAATTAGAAACGGAGCCGCGTTCGGCTCTATCACCTAACCAATGTGTCAAGTGAAATTCCCTTAAGGCACAAATTATTATTATATAAGGCGTAAGACCTATTAATTATGTCCTACGCGTGCATGGCCTACGCCCACATAAACCCTACTCGCTTGTTTAAGTTGCAAATAGTACAAATAAGTTCATCCGCAGCGCAACCGATGCGCTGCCGAGGTTCAGGCTAGGCGCCTAGTGCGCCAGGCCACCTCAAGCCCGTCGGAACTGTAAAGTCCCCTAAGGCCAACAGTGGCTTATCCAGCCCAAAAAAAAACCGATCCGAACCGCAGTGCTATCAACGCAACTTCGACCTGCACAGTGACTGCAGACTCATCATACGGATCTTCGACAGAGCTGAACATTAGCCACTGAGGAGGGCCTCAAACCCGTGGGTTCTTGCTAGCTTACCCACCGGTTCTGCGTTCAATGAAGCTTTAATAGTCTAAGGACTGAAAGCGTAACATCAGTTATACAAAATACAAATAGTTCGACCATGTTTTCATGCATCTAAATGTATTTTAACATAATAATTATATCTTATTTTCCACCTTACATTTGCATTTCATGCGTTGTTTTTTTAAATCCGAATATCTTATTTTAAAATTTATCGCTGTTATGTTTGTTGATTATGTTAGAAAAATTTTGGGGACCATAATTTGATGAGTCCTCCTAACATATTTATTTCCATATATTGAGGTATATGCCATCTATTGTTACGCAGTGAAACTAATAATTTGAGAATTAAGTTTATCTACTCAACGATAGATGACAATTCGTTTCAAATATATAAATACATATTATATTAAATTCATTTTAAATGTGACATACAATTATTGAATTTTTTGCCAAAGTAGTCTTATTATTTCAAAATATAAATAATTGTACTCCTAAAATAAATTTTCTTGGTAATGGCAATATTTTGCAATTCTTTTTGAGTCTCGCCAAGTCGCCATATTTATTTCTTTCTGACGTTGCTGTCACAAAACAAAACAGCACGTGTAAAAATGCGTATAGAAACTTGTTATTTTTGCTCTTCCAGGATATATCCTGGTCATGGAATACAGTTTGTGAGAAATGACTGCAAGGTATTCTATTTTTCCTAACATATTATATAACTTTAGTCATAGAAATATTTTGCACCATACATATTCGCTCTATACAGATTTTCAGATTTTGTCGGTCAAAATGTCACGCGGCTTTCAAAAAGAAGAAGAACCCACGTAAAACCAAATGGACAAAGGCTTACCGCAAAACCGCTGGTAAGGATTTGGCCATCGATCCATCCTTCGAGTTTGAAAAGCGTCGCCATGTACCAGTGAAGTACAATAGACAACTGTGGGAGAAAACTATTGAAGCAATGAAAAAAGTTGAAGAAATTAGACAGAGGCGATCAAATAACCATATTATGCAAAGATTGCGCAAAGGCCGCGAAGTTGAATGGCAACGAGATGTTAGAGAAGTGCAAAGGGATATTTCTCTTATAAGGTATATGATTTTACGGCTAATATTCCGAATAGTACGTCTCGTTTTTCAAGCTAGAAAAAATTTTAATCGATAGAGAAATGTTAATAATTAAATATTATGTAAGTTATAATCAATGAAAACCACTAGATTATGAGGAAAAAATTAACAAAGTTTTTAAATTTCAAACAACTGAAATCCGTCATTACTGTGCGTGTTCATTATAGACTATTATTTTAAGTTAAAAACTTACGTTTTCACTTTTTACGTTGTAAGAAGACACAAATACAGATATATCACAAAAACACAAGTTTCTACTTCATGAACATGTATTATTAACAATTTCTAATATTTAAAATTTGTGACTTAGGGTACACTTAATGTCTCGAAGATTAGGTTCAAAATGAGTCACAGATCCGACACAGAGCGATCCGACTCGGATAGGTTAGGTTAGAAGGTTAGCCTTCGATGTTAGGTTTTTTTTTTTATGACCACCCAGAAAACTTTAGTGTAACAGTACTTTTAGTATTTTTAAAGACTCTTTTTTAATAATGCGAAGGTTATAATTTGGAAAAGTGTGTGAATTCTTAAATTTATACATGTTGTCAAACACAAAATGGCGGATTTATTTAGTGAAAATAACAAGTTTTAAATATTTTTTTTTTTTATTAAAAGTAAGTGTTTGCCTTGGTTTTCATGTATGTAATATTTAATTATTAACATTTCTCTATCGATTAAAATTTTTTTCTAGCTTGAAAAACGAGACGTACTGTTCGGAATTTTTACCCACATTTCTACTTCTTGAGCATGTCATATCAGCAATTACTTTCTGCGATACAATTCGATTTCTTTCTTTCTTTTTCATAATTCTATGTTGCTTACAAAATTTTAAATATTTAGATGATTGTCAAATAACAAATCTTTATTAGATTCAACATTTATTTATTTCAAACTGATAAGTTTGTGAGGTACATATTTTTATGTATCAAGGTACATTTTTATTTATAATCTGTATCTGTTAGATGTTGCATAAGATTTTTACATTTTTTTTTGCTGGTTCAACCACTGTTGGCCTTAGGGGCCTTTACAGATCCACGAGACTTGTGCTGACACTCGGGGTGCCTAGCCATTACCTCGATTGTTGACAATTACCAAAAATCATAAAGGTCCTTTGTACATAGGTTAATCTTTCTTCTTTTCAATATATAATACTTTATTGTTAATTATTTGTGGTAATACTTTATTGTTTTTGGATGGGACTAAGCTACTGGTCTCAAAATTTATTGGCTTTGTACAGCATTTACTGACAAGGATGTCTTAATGAATTTATAACATACTACTAAATATCTTTTAATTTTAAATACAGCAATCAAAATATATTATGGCAAATTTGGCAAATGTATAGCAGTGGAGTATGTGCCTAAATAATTGTTAAATTGTTATTTAAGATCACCGGCGGCTGGTCTCAAACAAAGGCAAGCTGAAGAAGAAACAGAAATGGAAGTTGAGCCAGAAACAATTCAAGTTATTGATGCCAAGGGTCGCAAACAAGTAATTGAGGCACCAGTCATGGTACCAGCTACCGGGGAAATGATTGAAGATTGTGGTGACATCGAACTATGATGTGTTAAACATATTATTAATACAAACTTCAATTGACTTATAACAGCTGAGTATTTATAGTGACCAATAAATAAATACAACTATGTCTATGTGAATAAAAAGCCACCAGATTATTTTAATAAATGTTTTAAATAAAAAGGTTTATATCTTTTGTCTTAATTATTTAGTATATTTTTGATTTGATTACTTACTCCTCACTGATTACTCCTCACGAGTTCTATAGAAACTTTAAACCAAAAATTAAACAAAGTTATAAGAGGTTAGTAATCTAGTGTTGGTTATGGTGGGTACAATGATGTATACCCATGTGAAGTTTCATCATACATTGCATGATATAAAATAAGTATTGATTTTCAGTAGGACAGAGACTTTAATCTTCTTAACATTTATGGTCTGATGTTCTAAACATTTTTCTGTTTTATTCAATGAGACACTGAATTAGTATACTTTACAATGTGTCCTGTTCAAGGAGAAATCCTATTTATCAGGGTGTTTTTCTTATCTTCTGAATGTGTCTGAGAGGTTTTTTTAGCCTATAGGATTATTTAGAGATTCATAGGTCAGGGAAGAGATTATTTTTTGTAATGATACAAATTTAAAATGAAAGTTATTAGGAATGTTGTAAATTATCTATATAAAATTGTAAAACAGGCCTTGGCTACATTTAGTTAAATTATACATATATATTATTATAGATTAATCACCATTGTGTATATACTCAGCTTGCGCAATTAGTAAGAAATTGACAGGCGTAACTAAAGAAAAGTCTCCTTTATGTTTCACAAAAGAATCACATTAAAAAAAATTTAATAGTTAATTCGAAGCAATAATAGTATTAACATGAACGAACCAAAAAAATTAAATGTTCCGCACATCTGCCTAATCCAATTATCCGACCTACTATTACCGGACTAAGTAACGAACGTGTCTCATATCAGTCAATGCAGCCTCAAACAAACTGTCTCGTTTTATTTTACTGAGTTATTATGAAGCGTTATTAAGTTATTAAAAAGAAATGAATGTAGTTTCATACATTTTTACTTTCGTTGTGGCATGCCTTTCTTATTTAATGTACAAAAATTATGTGAGTACGTACTCCAGTACAGTTACAAAACCTGACAAGAGATATGATTACATTATTGGTGAGTAAAATATTTGTGTTCTTTTCTTCAATATTTAGGCTGTTTTATCGTAATTTAAGTTCATTAGGAAATAATACAGTCGATACTGTTAATTTTATTAAAAAACATAGTTATTTGACGACAACGTACTCCAGTACAAACCCGTGGGTTCTGGCTAGCCCACCGGTTCTGCGTCCGATGAAGCTTTAATAGTCTCGGGACTGAAAGCAAAAACATCAGTTAATACAAGATACAAGGTACTCCAGTAGAAAAATCACATTAATCGGCATTAAAAAAATATACAGTTGCTGAAATAAATGTGGTAGGCGCCAAAAACATTTTGCTTTTTAATGTAGTATAATCAGAAGCAGAACTTACAGATTTCGTTCTTATTCAAATTGTTCCAATTAGGGCAACTTATTATAATTACATAACATAGTTAGTGGAACTACATTGATATTTTATTCACACGTGTATTCATTTATTATAAATAAGCGATGGGATCGCTAATGAACAGTATCATAGTAAAATCAATTTATTCATTCTGTTTCACTAAGTCACTTTAATATTTTGGCAAGGAATTCTTTCCTGTTTAAATATTAAAAAATAAAAGACCTGAAAACCTTCTTTGCGCCTGTCATTTATATTTGGGCAAAATTACTCTTTAGAAAGTTACATATTAAAAAGTTGTAAGCATGTAAACTCTCCAATCCAAGTCTCATGCGTTCCTGAAATTAATCAAATGCAAATGCTCTCAGTCGGGGCAGGGACTGCTGGGTGTGTCCTGGCAGCCAGGCTAAGCGAGGACCCGCAAGTCAAAGTACTACTGGTCGAAGCTGGTGACCACATGGGATTCCTCACGAATATCCCCATGACGTCGACCGCCGCGCAGCTGGGACCAAATGACTGGTCCGTCCATACCACACCGCAAAAGTACTCTTCTTTCGGACTTTGGAATCAAGTAATTGAAGCATTGTTTTTTTTATGTGATAAAGTGGTAAACGAACTGGCGGCTAACCTGATGTTAAGTGATGACCACCACCCATGGACATTTGCAACACCCGTACATTATTTACCCTAATAGGTCAATTACTTGTTTCTCGGATTTCGTACGTGCGTCTTGTCACCTGTAATGTAGTCGACTATAAGCGAAGTGGATAACGTTGGTTTCGTTGATTTCGACATACTTTAGGATAACATTATCCTGTGTTGTAAGGACGTTTTACGAACATAAATTTCACGCGGACAAACACCCAGATGAGAAACAACTATCTGTGGGTCACACAAATAGTTGTCCCATGTGGGAATCGAAGCCAATACCTTGGCCACTGCGCCACGGAGTCATCGAACGGACATTTATTTGTCTATTTTTTATTCTAAAAATTGGCAAAGGAGCAGGCGGTCCACCCCTTATTAAGTGAATACCCCACCCATGAACATCTACAACACATGAGAGACGAATGAAGATAATTGAAAAATGTATTAACCAACTTTAGAAACAGTAGCAAATGAATCGTCATTCACCTGATTTTAAGTGATTACCGCCCATGAACATCTATAGCCCTTATGAGGTTGTAGATATATACGTTGCAGACCTTCAAAAGATTGACCACGGTTACGTTACTCACCAGACAATACGCAAAATAGTAATAGTAGTATGATAATTCTTATTCATACCGGTGCTCTGCGAGACCGTGGTATCTTCCCGGACGAACCTGCCCATTCGTGCAACATAGAATGCTGTTATATGGCCCTACTAAAATGAAAAAAGTAATTATAGCCTTTCGAATGCAATCGCAGTAATTAATAAACATTTCAGAATTCGCAGACGTGTTGCTGGTAGTCTGATGCTAAATAACGAAATCGTGCCTTAAACATTTTGTAATTTACGCACTATTAGACGACAAAAATGGACACGAACGGCGATTTTTTCAGACACAGATATTGCCAAGGGGCAAAGGGCTCGGAGGTTCCGGCCAAATGAACTTTCTACTGCACGGCTTTGGGCTACCACAAGACTACGACGCCTGGGTGGAGAAAGGATTCGAGGGCTGGTCACTGAAGGATTTGAAGCCCTATTTCATTAAGGCTTTCGGAACAGTACTGAACGAGTTCGACTCCAGTTATTGTAAGAAGGGATCGCCTTGTGCTTCGGTACGTAAAGTTATTTAAAAAAAACCTAGTTTTGGTATATAAGGAGCTTTATTACATTGGTTTAGTTCTTACCTCGCAAAGACTTTAATAAATATCTGGTCATCATCATTATGACCAGTATTTCAGCCTGTTAGTCCACTTTTGTCCATAGGCATTTCCCACGCTACTACCTACCAGGCTACCACGCAGCACGATCTTGTCATTCAAAATCCAAGTCAACATTTCTTTATTCAATATGTGCTTATATTAGCTTTTTAAAAATATCAATCATTTAGCATTTACATCATATCATCACCCATCGATGCAATTACACTTCTTCCTCCGGTTCGACTCTTTGGTGGCGCGCGTTATGACCGAGCGATGAGATGAATCTCTTCGTTCGACTGCGAATAATGTCGAATGTCTTGTTGTACATCATTGGTCTTTTCATCTATTGCTGAGAAAATCTACTCCGACATTTGAAATAATAATTAAAGTTAAATAAAACTAGTTTACAGATTTTATCGCGTTTTTTATTTTGATTTTAATTTCCCGACGTTTCGAACCATTTCCAGTGTTCATGGTCTTGATGTCGTAGTTAACCCCAGCCACCGTCAATTATTTTGTTTATTTTTATTCCGACCTACGCAAAAGGAGCTAATGGTAGGTATCTCGAGGTCTAGCCGTGTTGGTGTGCTTGGATTAAACTAGCTTCATTTAATATGTATAATATTCGCGTAAAATCAAGAAGTAAATATAATTAAAGTTATTAGAATCATTTGAAACTAGTATGTATTAGTGGTCAGACTAATCAAAAGATTCCACCCATGGAAGTGCTCCTAAATCAGTAAGGCCATGTTAGTCGATGTCGCTACTTTACATCAATTAGGCACCGATGAAGCTGAAGCTGGTAGAGGACGAAAACGAGTTGATGCAAGTGTTCAAACGGGCGTCCGCCTCGCTGGGCGGTAAGAGTACGGTGTTCCGCCGCGCCACGGCCACCGTCAGCGAGGGTCTGCGCCACTCCAGCCTCGACGGCTACCTCAAGCCGGCGATGAATCGGCCCAATCTCCACGTGCTTCTCAACACTCAAGCCGTCTCTGTGAGTTTCGCACTAATCCGGGTAGGATTGCTTGCCTCCTAAAAGGTAGTAATTGTGAACCAAGTTCGATCCTGCAAATCTCTTCTTTGTACTTATTGATAAGTTTTAGATATATATCAAACTTCGTTCTGCCAACTCTTCCATTGCATTTTTCCTTAAAACTGGCAGTTCTAAATCTGCTTTTCGCTCTTCTAATTCCTCATCTGTACTTCCGCTATTAAAATAAGTTAAAAGAATATATTATAATATGTATTTGACTAAAAACTGGGTTCATCTTTAGACCTTCCGACCCTCTTGAATGTTTTAGATATGAATATAAAGAAGAGAGAAGTTTTACAGAACAATTTTCTTCCGTTGAGTGCTGTAGTTACCTTTCACAAAGCTATAAAAAAACTATTCCGATAAAACTAACTATCGACGTTTCAGCGTGCACACAATTTAAAGATGGAACTTTGCCATGCAATGGATGCTGAATGTATGACCATTACTGCACACTGCTGGACTCAACCATAGCAACGACTAGACCTAGTCAAGTTTTCTGAATGAGCAATTATCATGACTTATAGAAGTCATCGCTTCATCTTATTTTTTTAAATCAGCGCCTGCGGGCGTATTAAATTATATTGAAATTTGGTGAAATGACTTTGTACCCACTACGATATAATACAAGTGTTTACCAAACAGCATCGTACATGCAAGACAATAAAACATAGCAATATAGGACTGCGAGGACCTTCCAGATCATGTTCACTGTATTTTAAAGAAGCAGACCTCCTTCTACCGTAGTCCTCCTACATTTTACACCTTCTCTTACCTTGCAGATACGATTTGACAATTTGACCGCGTCGTCGCTGTACATTTTGCAAAACCATCGCAACCTAGACAACATTTTCGTGGACAGGGAGATCATACTGTCGGCCGGCGCGATCAAAACACCGCAGCTGCTAATCCTCTCCGGAATAGGGCCGAGAGATGTTATAAAGAGGTATGCCTTGATTATAAACATAATATATCCATATAAATACAATAGTAGCTTATGAACTATCTATTAAGATATACAACTTTTCGAAGTGAATTTATTAGGGAGGTCTTCGATATCTGGACGAAAGTTGAGGCTGAAATTTCAAGGACGAATATAAAGATAATAGATGTAACGTAGAGTGAGAGCTACTTATTCATACTCTGAATACATAGGGATATAAAAAGAAGTTGTAGATGCACGCATCAGACGCTATCGTCAAAATCTACGACATCGAATCTTAAATGAAATCGACCAACCCAGCTGTGAATAAAGTAAGATAATGAGAAATCGTACACTGTAACAACAATAGACATTGAATTATATACGTAAGAGCTAGAGCAATCCTCAAATTGTCTTCCAGACTGAAGATAAACCTGGTGGTCGAGAACGAGCACGTGGGCTCTAACTTTCACGACCACATGAACATGCCCATCTACGTCAGCATCAAGAAGCCTATAAGCGTAACCCTTGCCAAGGTCTTCTCAGCTGGCACCCTCTGGGATTACATATGGAGAAGAGAAGGTAATTAAGGACCTCAATAATCAAGCTTTTTTATAATAATAATAATAATCTTTATTTGTAATCAAAATTTGTAAATAGAAGGTGATCAAAGCATACAGTTAACTTTGAAAGCAAGTAATTACGTCCGGTTATAGAAATACATCATAGCAGAGAGGTGATAATGTAAAAATAAAATACATAGAAATACTTTATTTTACCATAGTTAAAATATGTTACAAATGCAAATCTTTATATAGGATTTTTAAGTTTAATAAATGGTGTCTATTCAGAGCCGGAGTGTGTTTTTATGATTGGCAGAGAGTAGATGTATTTCTAAATATGTAATTGGTTTGGAGAAAGGTATAACCTTGTTAGGACCCATTTGTTGAAGAAACCTTGTGAAGTTTTACCTAAACAAGCATTTAAATAGAGGGTACCTAAGGCACTAACCTGGCTAATCCTTGTTTATCCTTCTATGCCTTCTTTTCTCCCGCTATCTTGTAAGTAATTATATAATATTCTCGTCTTGATTGAAACCAGGACTATTGTCGTTTCCTCCCGTGGCTGGCGTGGAGTACCACAACTCGTCCGCCGTGATGCTCTTCTCAATGGGCTCCACTAGCGAGAGGCTGCTTCGGGATTTGTCAAACTATAAGCAACAGGTAACTCATTACCTTTACTTATCCTTTTCCATTGTTTGATCTGAACATGTTATCGCTTTCCCTGACTGCATATCTTGTTGACACATTTATGCTGCCCGAGTTCCAAGTTCATCCATTAAGTTAAACGACTCATTGCTACACCGACGAAAATCTCGCAGTATTTTATCTTTATTGTTTTTTTTTTTTAATTTTAAGCAATGCTTGGCGCATCTATTTTTATGTCAAGCGCATAAATAATTTTAAATGTATCTTTTTTTCACACAAAAAAGTGAGCAAACGGGCAGGATGAAAATGATGAAAAGTGATTACCGCCGTTCAGGACTTGCAGATGGGATGATTAAATACAGTAATGTATTGAGAGGACTTTTTATTTATTCGATTACTACAGTAAAAACACTTATAGGAACACTTATGACCTAGCCATTTCGTGTCTCCGTTGCGATATTCATAGGCTTATTCTATCTTGTTATATAATGTTTTCATTGCCTATGACAGGCCGGTTTTGAATAAAAAAAAATATATCATAGAGCTGGGTTGTGGCAGGCGTTCCGCGCGACGTTCCCGTTCGCGCAGGAGTCGCGGCGCGAGGGCTTCGTGTGGCTCAACTCGTGCGCCCAGCCCCGCAGCAGGGGCCGCGTGGAGCTCCCCTCCCCTGCCTCCTCGCGCCCTCCCCTGCTGCGCGCCACATACCTGCAACACGAGCACGACCTCCGCTGCACCGTGCAGGGTACCTTCCGCCCTTCCGTTGCACCCATCTTTCCTCTACTCTCTCAGTTCGTTGCAGCCGCTTTTTGTATTTTAACATCGCCCCCACTTTTAGGATAATATTGGCCTGTGTTTACGGGCGTAGTACAAACATGAACAACACAAAAAGCATGAAAAACAAAATAATTTACAAAAATAAAACATCCAGATGCGATACAACTGTCTGTGGGTCACACAAATAGTTGTCGCGTGTGAGAATCGAACCATCGAACCCCGACGCGCAAGCCGATCTTGGCGACTACTTCAAGATATACTTTTTGGCGCGCCTGCAAAAAAAATACGATGAATACAATAATACGACGCGCGCGACACGATTAGGTTGTTTCCAAAGCGACCAACTTCGATCAACTCCACGATATCACCATGGCAACCAATAAGAACTCATTGACATTTCACCTATAATTCCGAGTTATTTAATTAAACCATTATAAATTCCATTTAATGTATTTTTCCGAAACGAAGAGTAAATGGCACAGGGGATAGATTTTCTTTTATCACGCTAATGTAGTACGACTTCTTACGAGCGTCCATAAGTGCACACATACTTTTAATGAGTAAGACGGCAAGCAAGCTGACCGATTTCAAATGCATTGACCTACCCGGCTACCTCACTGACTAGACTAGACGCAACGCAGGAGTATAGCACTTCCAATTCACGCCAGTCTTCTGCGAGGTGGTGGTACTTCCCCGGACGGAGCTGCCATTTCGTGCAACAGCCGAAGCTCTTTCGTGGCACTACCGCAGTTAAGCGATAACCGTCGACCGGTGACATTTGCAACATCCATAGTAGTAGACACCTTTCAATGAAGCGGTCCTCGGCTACCGCACTCACCAGACGAAACGCAGAAGTATAACACTTCTACATTACGCCGATCTTCTGCGAGGTCGTGGTACGTCTCGGGAGAACCTGTCACCTGCCTATTCGTGAAATAATGAAGAGTGTTGCGTAACCTCTCACATATAACCGATTTACCATTAACAATTCAAACCTCCTTCCTCGCTTAAACCGAGCACCATCCAATTTTAAGTAGATCGAAGCAATGAACTAATCTAACTGCGGCTTTTTTGTAACGAATATGAGACTTGCAACATCAAAGTATTATTGAAAGACTTTTTAATTAACTTATGTCTTATATAATAAAGCCATTGACGGTCAAGTTGCAATTAATTTTTCACATAAAAAATGAATAAACATTATTTAATTTTTTTAAGAATCGAATGAAAACCGTCGCAAATAAACCTTTTCGTGATTAGGACTTCCATTATCATCAACATCCCACCACAGCTTTCGAAAAAAAATTACCCTTATAAAGATTATCATGTTTTCGTAAACGTAACAACGTTCTCAATTTTATTGCCAACTTTGGATGGTAGACTTGCACTAGACTTGGTTTACAGTTGATACTTTAAAGAAACTCCACACTCATTCTATACCTTATTAACAGCCATTAGACGAGCGGAACGGCTGGTGGCGACTAAACCCTTCCAGGAGATCGGCGCCAGGATCCACTGGCCCCGACCTGAGCGCTGTCTCTCCTTCTGGAACTACCCCATAGAGGAGCAAACGGGCGTCAAGTCGAGACGCAAAAGGTAGCTCAATTGAATCTATACTTGCTTTTCTACGGGTTCCGTTCATCATCGTTATTTCAGCCTGTTTGAGTCCTCTGCCGAAAATAGGCCTCCCCCATAGACTGCCACGAAGTACGATCCTGAGCCACCTGCATCCATCGACATCGCGCACACTTGAACAGGCTTCTGTCGTTATTATTTGTTAATGTGCCACTTTTATTAAAATATTTCTATCACAATCCATAGTAAAAAAGTAACTGATATTGCTTATTTTAATATAAAAGATCCTTAGGATGTTTAATCACACTATTATTTCAAATTTAGATATAATAGAAGTATACATATGACCGTTCATATGAAATTAGTCAAGAGTTGTTTAAAATCGGCAACAATTCAATCAATATAAAGCCAAGCCAGCTTTTTATATTCCGGTCGGTCTTCTGTGAGGTCGTGGTCTCGGATGGACCCGACCATTTATTTATTTATTTGTATAGGCTTACAACTAAACACATACAAATCATTTACATAAGATATAATAAACTTAATAACCATACACATATATGTATTTAAGTTAATTGTAAACACAACATTTATCCTAAAATCAGGGCTATGGTTTTATAAATTATTTTTATAGTAAGTGAATATTTTTAAGGTTCCATACCCAAAGGGTAAAACGTGACCTTACTACGACTCCGTAACCCGACGTACTAAGACTCCGCGGTCTGTCTGTCTGTCTATCTGTCACCAAACTGTCATGAACCGTAATAGTTGGACAGTTGAAATTTTGACAGATGATGTATATCTGTTGCCGCTATAACAAAAAATACTAAAAAAATATTTAAGCGGGTCTCCCATACAATAGGCATGATTTTTTGCCGTTTTTATAAATAATATTACGGAACCCTTCGTGTGCGAGTCCGACTCGCTCTTGTTCTATCAATAAGGTTCATAGGGTCAGAAAATGTATCAATGTCACATTTTTCATTTACTACGGTATTGTATGCATACTTTGCTAATGTTTATTGTGTTCTTTTACTTTTACTACCTAATTGTTGCGACTAATTTTTATGTAATTCGTGCCACAATTAAATACACTTGTACCTTGTATTAACTGATGTTTTACGCTTTCAGTCCCGAGACTATTAAAGCTTCATCTAACGCAGAACCGGTGTGCTAGCCAAAACCCACGGGCTTGGGCCCTCCTGTGGGTAGGGCCGTTTAATTATGGCATGTCATCTAAGGGCCATCGAGGTTCGGTGCGGACCGTGGCTAGTGGCAGTGACAACCGCCCCGGAACGCGGGTGTACCCGGTGTGTGTTGGTCTCACCGTGCTCGGAGGCGAGGGCGAACGTTGTGTTTGTTGCACTAACTGTTAGTGGTGTTGTGTCAGGGCGGGGGGCGGGCGGCGGGCGCGGGTCGGCGGGGGCAGCCCGCCCGACGCGTTCGTGGAGTGCGTGGTGCGCGAGGTGGCCGTGACGGGCCACCACGCCGCCGGCACCTGCGCCCCGCCACGCGTGCTCGACGCCCACCTCAGGTGAACCCCTTGCCCCTGCCCCTGCCCCTACCACAAACATAAGGCGCACGCTTTCAATCCAATACGCCGGACCGAGCTGAGTTCAATCCTCGGGACGGTACCTATCACCCGCTCGGCGGTGAATGAAAACATCGTGAGGAAACCTGCATATTTAAGAATTTATAACTTAAAAAAATATTTCGAAGATATGCGATGTCTGCAAACCCGCAATGGGGCGGCGTGCTAGACTATGACCTGTCTATGTGACCTTCTGTACAGAGAGGCACCTTGCCCAGCAGTAGGACAAATGTTATGTATACTGCTACTTTAGTGTACTTTACTTTACTATGTGTAGTACTGTAAAGTAAAGTACTACTTAGTATGTGTAGTACTGTACTTTACAAAAACACTGGTCCTGTGTGGATTTCGAACCTTCGACCCCAGTTGCATTTGCGCCAATAAGCACACTGTGGACAACTGTAACATCAAAAAGATAGCTGGTACAGTGCATCCCTGTGTGAAAGTGGTTCTGGGATATCGAATAAATCACTGATCACAACTCACAAGAAACTTGAAATAACTTACATCGTAGGAATGTCAACGAAGCTATTCTATTAGCTCAGCGATTTAATGTCAAAAAAATTAAAAAGGTTTTATGCGACTACTGTACAATATGTATAATTATTTGACTTTACATTAAAACTTACTGAATATGGCGACCACACAAAAACGAATTCTTTTCGGTACAGGCTTGTAGTTATATTTTAAGGCGCCTTCATATTATTAATAGCAATATAACAATTGTAACATTCATAACATATGGGATCGTAAGCATACCTACTCAAATACAGAACTTTATAGACTCAGCCTAATTACTTACACTAAACATTATTTTCATGTGAGATGGGCAATCGAACTGGTGGTTCACCTGATTTAAAGTGATAACCGCCGCCCATTGACACTTGCACCACTCTTTACAAATGCGTTGCCACCTTCCCATGAAGTGGGCCCTGACTACCTCACTCACCAGACGAAACGCGGAAGTATAACACTTCCACTTCATGCGGGTCTTGTGTGAGGGTGTGGTACTTCTGCTTAATCGTGCAACACGAAGGCTGTTCCGTGGCCCTACCAGTTTAAATCTACACACATCCATGAGTGTTTTGAATTTCAGGGTGAGGAACGTGTCTGGCCTCCGGGTGATGGACGCCAGCGTGCTCCCCTCGCCGCTCTCCCTTTATCCCAACTCGGTCCTGATAGCGATGGCGGAGAAAGCAGCAGATCTGATACGCAACTCTCCCCGTCCCTAGTCTATGTATTCTTCACTCTAACTTATTTAAGTACTTTCTACACTCTTACTTAGCGTAATTACACTTACGGTTTCAATATTCAATCTACAGATAGATTTGGACTTTGCTTACTGGAGATAGAATTGTGACGGAAGCTAAATGCCTATCGCTAGTAACCAAATCCTAACTGTAACTCGAATATTGAAACCGGCCATTGGTATATGCATATCTATGTAAGTTTTGTATTAGTAATATAATGAACTATATTATTATTTTTAAACACTAAAATTGGACGGTGTCTTTTGCTATTTTATTATTGTATTGATTGTCTGAAATAGAATGTAAGGGATTTGAAATAAACTTTTCTTAAATGTAGTGTTTCATTCTCTAGTATGGTTGATTCTTCCCCCATGGGACAAGCTGCGCCTAGTGTGGGGTTTAGTTTTGTATCAATTGTAAACATAATACATATTAATAAATATTTTTCATTTTTTATGTCATTTTCATTTACTGTGTTTTTAGTAGCATTGACACTTATCCTTTACGATAGTGTGAATATTTTCTCTGTGTTTTCAATAAGCAATGACATACATTTAATAATCTAATATGAATTAACCATCATTCGGAAATTTTGGTAAGTAAAAAAATGTCTTGGTAATAATTCTATAGTGTTGAGTTCTTTTCCGGGTAAGGTGTTGAAAAAGTAAACAAAATTGTTACATTAGTTCCACCGCTTTACCGAAGACTCCTCTGTACACAGGGGACATTTTCCACGTGGCAGTGTGGACTCAATGTGGAGCGGTGGACATTACATATGTTTGTAATATTTTTGCCCGCTTCTGATGCACTTAAAGGTGGAATTGTCAATGTGCACTTAAAGGTAGAATTGTCAATGTGATAAATCTGGGATATAATATATAGAGTTAGGCAACTGCCAGACATTAACTTTTACAAAATTGCGAAAAGCGAATTGCGAAAGAACTAAATTTACGCGAGACAAATATAAAATAAATCTTGTAAACAAGACAGTTTCTTAAGTTTGGGTTTCTTATTAAAATACTTACAAAAACTAAATCAATCTGCCATAGAATAAATTTGGTTAAATATCTTTTGTTGCCGACATTCCACGCACTCAAACAAAGAAGTTTGCTTCATCGTTCGTAATCCAAAGCGCCATTTTTTTCGTCTGATAACAGTATGACAGTCTTCGAGGCAAGAGTGAAAACGCTTTTACAGAGCTAGTGCGTAATACCTACCAATGACTAAAATGAAAAATCAAAATATGACGAATTACTCCAACTTGCGCTGAATTTTTTTTATGCGAAAAGTTGTCAAACGAGCAGACGATTCACCTGATGTTAAGTGAATACCGCTGCCCATGGATACTTGCCACACCCGAGGGTTACAGATGCGTTGACAACCTTTTGAAAATTGGGCTCCGGCGGTAGCCGCTGGTGAGGTATCACTCGCCAGACGAAACGCGAAAGTATTATACTTGCACTTACGCTGGTCTTCTGTGAGGCCGTGGTACTCAGCCGGACGAGCCTGCACATGCGTGCAACAGCCGAGGCTGTTGCGTGGCCCTACCACCGTAAAAATTGTTTTAACGAATTGTTGTTTTAACGAACCTGTAACATCACAAACATTGACAGTACAGGCAAAGTTACATATGCTAACGATTAAATAAGCCAGTTTGCACTACACTTATGGCTGTGTAAAGCCAAACACATTTCGCATAAATACTTACAATCTATTGACAAAAGTCATTAGTTTCATTTGTGGCTACCGTGATTATTATCATCAGAATCAGTATAACCCATCGGTAGTTATTACGCAACCTTGGTGGGTTGAGGTTATGCTTTCGCATTCAATATCGCAATGCCCGATTAATTCAAATTCGATTCTCGGTGATGACACAAAATAAATTGTTTGCTGTAACTCTTTGATTGTTTTGTTAATTAAGAAAGCTATTAGATATCTATGGGTTTCGTTATGATTGCTAGCATTTTTATTTTAATGAAATAAACATTAAAACTAACTTTATGTTTCTCACGTATGTTTAGTTAACCATTCACTTGGGATATGATTAATTCGTAATGTCCCCTAGGTTGTTTATTGTATTCAGTCTTGCACGCAAGATTTGAATAATCCCGACATACATTATTTCAATTAGAGTGCGAGTAGGGAAAAAGGGGTAATGGGGGTCACTTAAGCGAAAACTTAAATAATTAAAAAGTTTGAAACAGAATCCTTATTGCAACCGCCTCATAACAAAGTCTACTTACTTGGCCATCGTTTGAGATCAATGGTCATCACATTAATAATTAACTTCGGCAAGTAAAAGAGTTAAAGTAAAAAAACAGTATTGACTCCAATTGCACTGAGGTAAGGGTAATTGTGGTCACCTTGTGGGCAATGAGGATAAAACAAAATCTAACACTAATCGCAAACATATCCCAGCTCGCAGACCAGGGCCTAGGTAATCAACTGCGCTAGAAGTTGGTGGTGGTGATGGTGGCTTCAGTGAACCAACAATCATTGATGTGCCAGTTATTGAAGATTCTCCTTGACCTGATGCTGGGTCATCAATAGCATCTGACTCATCATAGTTTTGAATGGCAGTAGTCTCCGATTGGAGCAATTCGGCTGGCAGAAAATCTTCTTCAGAAAACACGTCGGGGTTTATTGGGTAAATACCAGTAGCCCTAAATATCGATTCCCCTTTACTAATAGGTGAAACGTTATTAATGGTCTTCCGCAATAAGGATGTTACTTCGTAAGGCGTGATCTTCTCTGCAAGGTAAATGACAACAACCCGTCACGTCCAGCCATTTTCGAAAACTGATTAAAATTGTGTTTTAAGTAGTCTTCAGCATATTCAATTGCCACTTTTCTAATTTCATTAGCTGTAGGCAAATCCATAAAAAATATTGGCCATCTTCTTTATGAAGTTCTCTTTCTTTTTCAAGGCTGAACACAGTCTGGCTGACAAGTAAGATTTTTTGATAAATCAAAAAATATAGTATACGCCAATTACAATGCCTGTAATAGTGGCCCTAGTGGGCAATGGGGGTCACCCGAATCTCATTACCCACAAGCACTCTAAGTAGAAAAAAAATTAAAAACAAAATATATTTTGCAGCACACGTGTTATATGTTTGAAATCGTTACACTGAATGTCCGAATAAAGGCGCATGAAAGTTACAAAGAAGTAGATCAATAAATGTAATACTTACCGTTTATTTTACGAGAGAGGAAATTTATATCGGCAAGCCGCAAAAACAAAAATGATCTCTCGTTCCCGATGCCGTTGCCATACAGGCTCAGCCGGCTCGCAACGATTGTTAGGGACACATAGCGGAATAGGGAGGCCATTTACGCATCTCTAGTGATTGAAGTTTTGTATATATGTGGCTAACCACTATTACCCACCGACTCCCATTACCTCTTTTTCCCTACCTACTCTTAAATATTTGTTTAATTTAGTTTGATTCAGATCATGTCATGATTTACTAGCATCGTATTACCCTAAGTATTATTATTTAAACAAACGTGTTAATATAAAAACGTGCATTTGGAAACCTTTATTGAATTAACCTTAAAAATACGAGTAGATCACTAAAATGGCACCTAAATGATTAAATTTCATGCACCTCAGAGTTAAACTGTCTTTAAATTAAGATTTAAAATAATTTCAAAAAAACGTTTCATGAACTTTTTGCAACTTTAATAATTTTAATAAAATTAAATGAAAAAAAAACGTTGACTAATGAATAATTAGTCTAAATTGAAAGACCCACCAATTTACATTTAACATGTTCTTGAAGGCTATATATAATTATAATCAACTGACAAGTAGAGTCAACTTTCACAAAGCAATTTTTACTTTTAATCATGAACAATTTTCTACCAATACACTCCTAAATGTATATGGAACCGCTTAGTCGGAATAAATTAAACTGCTCAGTAATTTACGAATAATTGTTTTCACTAATTTTACTTATACCGATTTTGGAATGGCACACTGCACTTATCTCGAGAAGATACTGGTTTCGCAGTACATCATCATGTTACACTGCCATTGGCACATCGTGAGGTCATCAGCTGTCATCGAAACATTCGCTCTCACCCAATACGCCCACGTTGTTCGAACATGTAATTTAACACGAGAACTTCGGACTCTTGGAGCTTGATCTATACAGCAACACAGAGTGAGTGAAAAAGAGACTGAGAGCAATTTAACTATCTTAATCATGTTTGATCCTTTTACGGAAAAGAACTAAAAGATTATGACTTTAGACATTTTTGTCGGGATATACAATAACCACAAACAACAACAAGCATTTTAGTTTAGTCTACGTTATGCGTGTCATTTGGTGAGTATTTATTTATCGCCTATTTTATGTTTCACAAATGAAAAGTATGACACCAAAAAAATTACGTTTGTTAACTTTTTACAAGATATCTCATTATACCAAACGGTCCTTTGAATCTTTTAACACCGTTTCTATCGGACGGATGTCTAAATTCCTAACAAGTCTATTCTATTTTTATCATCACCATTTAAGCCACCCTTCATACTCCTGTCAAATAATATATAGTGCTGTTCTTTTTTGGCCTAACAATGGGCAAAACGTCGTCACGTAAGGACTGGCTGATATAATTAAAACAGCCGGCAGCACTTCGTGCATATTGAGCAAAGGTAACGCTGGCCTCTACCAACGGTTTTCGAGGTGAGATTTAACGAGTGTATTGATCATATTTGTGAAGTTTTACTAAATGTTTTGAACCGTCTCTCGATTCTTTACCTTTTAAAAATAGTATCTTATCGTATATCTGTTCAACTGAACAATGAATTGAAGTGAGCAGAAGTTACTTCACGCAAATCTCTTATCTCTGAGAAGTTTATATAGACCGGGAAATTACTGCACACGTGACCAGGATGAACATAAATTAAAATGTGAATAAAGTGACCAAGCTTTTGCTATATGCCAATTATTCCCTCTAATGATGATGAACAATTGCCATTATTTGATCCGTTTGTTCACGCAAATGTCTTACCCATGAGAAGTTTGTAATAAATTGTAAACAAACTTATTTTCCCAAATAGTATTTATAAAAGTCTCTTTACGATCATACGACTCTTTAAAATCATACGACGACGGTAAAGTGTATTAAAAAAAAACATTTATGGAAACATCTATTTAGATGGAAATTATCATCGAGTATATGAGTGACGGAAATATCGAGTTTGAGATGAATAGTACTCACAGGCCTTTTTATCTTGACACAAAAATAATAACAAATGTTACAGACCTTCAATCCGTTTTCCTTTCCGAGTGCAGTGTAGTTGTCGACTTTGTGCTGCAACTGTCTATATTGATTTGAGCGCTCGGGCAATGTGTGATACATCAGGGAGGCTCGACGGGAAAGTGGCCGTGGTCACCGGCGGCAGCTCCGGTATTGGGTTCGAAGCTGCAAAGAACCTGGCCTATCTCGGGGCAAACGTAGTGATAGCCAGTCGCAACGAGACGAAACTGGCGAAGGCGAGGAAGAGAATACAAAACGTAACTGGTAACCGAAACGTGTCATACAGACTCCTCGATCTTAGCTCTTTGAGATCCGCGCGCAGTTTCGCGGAAGCAACCATCCACGGTGAGGGGAGGCTGGATATACTGGTTAATAATGCGGGAGCCCTAGGCCTCTCCGACCGGTTGACAGACGACGGGCTGAATCTCACGATGCAAGTGAACTACTTCGGCACGTTCCTGCTCACGTATCTGTTGCTGCCTCTGTTGAGGAGTTCGTCGCCGAGCAGAATCATAACGGGCGTTGCGGCGGCAATGTACATCGGGCACTTGGATTTCGATCATTGGAACGACATCGGCAGGTACACCTCTGTGGAAGTCCTCGCCAACTCCAAGCTCGCGGCTGACTTGTTCACAGCGGAGCTGAGCAGGCGTTTGGAGAGCACGGGGGTCACGGCAAACACCTACGACCCGTACGTCGCCAGAGACACCAACATCCTGAACAACATAGACGGCCTCACGCGCAACATTTCCCAGCTTTTCGTGGACCTGGTGGGCCAGCCGAAGGAGGAGGTGGGGAAGCAGATCGCGTATTTGGCAGCGGAGCCCGCGCTGGCGGACGTGAGCGGAAAGCACTACAAGTTCTGCCGCGAGTGGATCAACCATTGGCTGGTGTACGAGAGCGAGTTGACCGAGCAGCTTTGGGATGCCTCGAAGAAGGTCGTCAACGTGACGGCTGACGAGGATTGGGAGGTTTGAAACGCTTTCTGAATACTATAATGGCGTGTGTCATTGTTTAAAAGTGAATTTTCAGATCTTCTGTTTTTTTATCAAGTTTCCTGGAATCGTTCACGAAATAATTTGTTTTATAGTGTAGATGTATTTTCAATTTAAATATGTTGAAATAATGCATTAAGTATAAAAGTTTGTAAAGAAAGTCGCTATTTAAATGGTATCGATGCCTTAATCGTAATGTTTATATCGTTATTATATTAAACTTTACAAAAGTTATGAATATTTCAATTTCTATGGAATAATGTGCGCTCTTCTTAGTCAAGGTACGGTTTTTAATTGGTTCATAAGAAGACCATCATCAGGAGACCAGGATGAGACAGCAAAAGCTTGGTAAAATAAAATGACCAAGCTTTTGTTATGAGCCAAAGCCTCTGGTGGCAATGACGAATTGCCATTATGATCCGTACGTGCTGTCACCTCCTCTTAAAGAGGGAAAAGTAATTCTGTTCTCAATTACTTAGTGAAACAGGAAACCTTGAAACATTGAAACTTGCTTCATAATAGCACGGAAGTATGCGGCCGAGTGTTGCAACTGAACAGATTCTTGATTACAACAACGTCACCAGAGGACGACCTTGATATAAACTTTAATTATAGTACCAAATCCATCAGAACAGAGTAAAATAGTATTACCCTTAGGACTGATGTTATTTTATGTGATGAATTAATGTTGATTTTAAACGAGATATCGGATAAGTTCATTTTATACGTGATGGATTAATCATATTTATAAATTTAATAATCCTAATTACGAACGAATGAACTAAAGTATAAAATTATGTTAACTTATATAGAAATACTGAACTATATGAAAGTCCTTGATTCGCTGCTCTTATTCGACTACCAAAAAGTGGAGGAGGAGTATAAAAATCATATAGTTAATTATTTTAAAATTATTTGTCACTAGCTGCTGCCCGTGACTACGTATGCATAGAATAGGCTAAAGACGTAGCATTCAGATATAAAGACAGATATACATAAAAATATGTATATAAATTATAGCCTATGTTTTATTCTGATGTATAAGCTACATTATTCTAAAGTTTCATTAAAATCCATTCAGTAGTATTTGCGTGAAAGAGTAACAAACATCCATCCATACATACATACTTTTGTCTTTATAATATTAAGTAAGGATTAGAATTTTTAACATTTTTATATGTTAATATAATAAGATAAAAAATTCGTTTACTTAATTTCGGTATTTATCCATAAGTCCTGACTAAATAATCACGCTACTAAATAAATAATGTTTTGTCTAAAATTTAAACATTTCCATTTCACGCTGGTATTCTGCAAGAACGACTTGGTCCCAACATCCAATAGCAGGAGCCTGCTGTTTGCTCTCCCACAGTTAGTGTCGGATATTAAAAGGTGATTATTTCAACCGGGCACCGAACCGGGGACTCCGATTAGAATGTATAGGCGGTGCGCTAAGCATTTGCACCGGCAGTGGAAAGGTCAGAAGCGATGCACCGGCTGAACGTAATGCTCGAATCATTATGTCAGTCGCACTCATCTCGCTTCCGCGTGAATTACGCAAATCTTTGTTGTGTGACTCAAGCTGTAAGAGGAAGCGGGATAAAATTTCCTAGGCGCAATATTTTCGCCACACATTGTCCACCACAGTAAAAACGTAGATGATTGCTAATTATGTTATAAATAAGCTCCTTTTGGCTTTGGAATATTAAATCCATTATTGATTATTTATGGATTTAATATTCCAATTTATTGCCTAATTACTATCTTCAAAATAATCTTTTTTTACATTATAAATAACAGTAGAATTGAATGTGTGTTATAAAATGGCGGATTTGCTGGAGAGGTCTGAGCAAAATAATGATTCAATACATTGAATACGTTTCGGATGAATTTTGACCAATGGGCGACAACTATTATATAGAAATGTTCCATTAAGTTAAAAATAATAACTATTGATGTAAATGTATGTCGTTGTAAAATGTTATTTGAGAGTGTTGGTAAACTGTAAAATTGTTCACTAAGTTGCGCCAAACATTTCTAAAATATACACTACAATAAAGTAGACGGTTTAATGGATTTTTTGCGCCATAATGTAATCGGCTCAGATTAAAATTCTTGTAGTCCCCAAAATTTTTCGACAATTTATCTTTATATAAAATTTCAATGTGTATTTAACATTGAAATTTCATTTTGAGTGCAATCTGGCACGAAAAGTACTATCATATATTTTTATCTTCATTCAAATCAATCGTTTCTTATTTCTTGAAAACAAAAATATCTACATCCATACATTTGACAATATCGTTTTCAGATCTGATCTCAATCATCAGGAGGTTGCACATTTTGAGATAAGATTTTGTAATCAGTCTAAATGAAATAACGGTTTTGAACTTTACTTTGAAATTTGAAATGCTGTAGCTGCACTGAGCATAATTCCTGGGGTGAATAATTTTCTCTCTAACTCCTTCACTAAATTATGGTAGCACAGGACCACTACATATCGTGACCGCCTCTGTGTCCATTTAGTAGATGTTTTGGGCTCAACCATAATCACATAAAAAATCGGTTATAGGCGCAAAGCCAATAGTATAACGCCATTTTCATTCGTGGAACAAACGTTAAGTCAAGGAGCGCAAGGAACGGAACAAATAACGAACATCCTATAATGTTAAAATTAAAAAAAGTTTATACTTATCGCTTTCCCACTCTAATTCCCCGCTACCGCCTGTGACTTTTAATCTGTGCGACCGCGTAAAACGCGTTAAAAGGATTCTGCGGTAGAACTGGAAAGTTTGTTTTCCTTGCTCTACCGCACGCTCCGTGCATTTCTAATATTCACTAATACGCTCTGCATATTTGTTAGTAAAATAAACGCGTGATCCTACCACTTGGGCCGTTGACGTGCGATAAATAAATATAAACAAATGTTCTCGGGCAACAGCCATTGTGTTTCATCCTTGTTGTTCATTTTATATTCATCTCCAAGATTCTGCATACGGTTTGTTGTCCGTGAGAACTTTTATTAGACTTTCAAATGCTTACAAGCGGACGAATTTCGCACAATGAATTGGTGCAATAGTCGAATTAGGCAATTGTGTGACTCACTTCAGTAGTAGGGAGGCATGAACTGAATAGAGTGTCTGCGTCAATACAAATTTAAGGTTGTACGTGAATGTCTTACAGTGATATTCTAATAACTGAACTTCGAACTTACGATCTTAAGATCACTACTTGGAATCGCAGTGGTCTGCATTACAGTTTTGCATTTGTGGTGTAAGGCAAGTCTCAAGGTCTGACACTATCCCGTGGGAGTCAAACAACAAAGGACGCAATAATATAAACATATTATCCTATCATATATATATTATAAAAAAGTTATAGAATATTTTTACTCTATTTTTATCCTTACCATTTTTGTATGATCTGGATCACCGACATATATAACTGTTGCGTACTAGATTCGATACCACAAAATGGGCCATGTATTATGCACATAATCTTTTGGGCACAAAGTGCTTTGTTTTATAATAATACCCAAATTGGGTATTGAATTATAACTCCCACAATTAATGATAATTGATGATGAAGGCGTGGCAATTAAACGCACTACTTAAGTTGAACTTGTTACATTTGAGAAAATAAAGAGAGCGGGACTGTCTGCATTTATAGCAGATATTCATGGACAAGCCATTTGGCCTAATTGACTTCCTTCAACTGTTAATTACTTAAATATTTGACGAAAGTATATTAGATAAAGATGTTAACTTCATTGTCTGTCTCACTCCGTGTTTAAATACGTTATCAAATAAAATATTAGTTTTTCGGCTCTAAGTAGCTTTATTTCAGAGTAGTTGACACAAGTTAAGTCTTTTGTCCTTGATGGTTTTATGAGCGAAAGTCAAAGGTATATATTAAGTAGGCTTATAATACGTATTCAACAGAAAACGTGCTAGGTGGGAAACCTTATGGCCGCATGGCATGGAACCGCATGATTGAAACCGATAGGGGGTTTCACATGCATGAAAAAAATACGGGAAATTTTCATCGGTGTTCCTGACGTTATGGGAATTACAAAGTTTCCATTGATCTCAAATCTCTGATTCTCGTAAATAAGGTCGGGAGCCGACTTTTCCATGACGTCACGATCTCCGCCCGTCACTTTCCAATGACATAAGTCGCGAGAGACGCCGCCGGCAGAATACTAAAGCAATCGCGGATCAACATCTCATTACGAGCGAACACTGTCGGCGTTTTCTTTTCTTTATATGAGAAGGTGGTCTATGAGCAATCGTGCTTATAGATGTATCAAATACCGAAGAGATAGTAGGTGCTTCTTCGGAACCGTAGACCTTGTAGGATGATGAGGGAATGGGAGAGGTTATACGCTCTTTTATAGAGCAAAAAGTATTAGTATTTCTAATTTTGGTCGAGGCTGTCACTTTGTACAGTACCAACAGGTTTTCCAAATCTAACACCATTATGTTCAACATTCTGATACAAAACAGTATAATCAACCTGGTATTAAACCAGTAATACACCAAGCAATACCCTAAATGTGAGGTTTGAAGACCAAGTAGAGTGGAAATCAATTCCTGAAGACATGCAACACAGCATTGGCATGTCTACTGGCAATTGCGCAGACTCATCCCAGGGACAGCTTTTAGAAGAACCTCGTGCAAAGTGACTGACCAGTTTTAACGAAGTGATCTTCAGGTCGCACACCAAAAGTATTAAATAAAACTTTGACTTTAAGCAGGTCTTCTATGAATCCTTGATTTTCCCTCGGACACGCTAGTCTATCCAAACAGCACATGCCCACTAGCATAAAACACAGTAAAAACTATAAATTTACTGGTTGACCCGTACGTAATTTTCACACAGTACTATGATCAGTTACCGAATAGAATATAATAATGAGAAAATAAGTATTTATCAATGAAAGATAAAGTCTTCAATAGATGGCATTGTCATACATCCTT